TTCTACACAGGCTGTGGCTGATCATACACCTCTTGTTCTAGTTCCTGGTGCACAGTCACCAGTGATCCCTATTATCAGGAAATCCACAAGACCTCACAAACCTCCAGGTTGGCTGCAGGACTATGTTTCTGCCCCAAAGGCCTCTTCCTGCCTATATCCTATGCCTTCCTATGTTTCGTATTCCACTGTGAGTCCAGGTCATATGCAAACCTTATCCCCCTATGCTTGTCAACATGAACCTCAGTCATTTAGGGAGGCTTCTCTTGACCCTAGATGGATTGAAGCTATGCAGTTGGAGATTGCTGCTCTTGAGGACAACAACACCTGGACTATTGTGGACTTACCTCCCCATAAGTCTCCCATTGGATGCAAGTGGATCTATAAGATCAAGTACAAAGCCTCCGGGGAAGTAGAAAGATTTAAGGCCAGGCTGGCTGCTAAGGGGTTCAGCCAAAAAGAGGGCATAGATTACACAGAAACATTTTCCCCTGTGGCCAAGATGGTCACAGTCCGGACTGTGATTGCTTTGGCTGCCTCCAAACAGTGGTATCTCTATCAGATAGATGTCCATAATGCTTTCTTAAATGGTGATCTCCTAGAAGAAGTCTATATGAAGCTTCCTGATGGGTTTGCTAGACAGGGGGGCTCTTCTAAAGTCTGCAAACTTCAGAAATCTCTTTATGGCCTCAAGCAGGCTCCAAGACAGTGGAACAGAAAATTGACTGAAGCACTGGAAGCATTGGGATTCAAACAGAGCCACTTTGATTACTCACTCTTCACTAATAAAAATGGAGTTGATATAACAGTAGTGCTTGTATATGTTGATGATCTCATAGTCACAGGAAGCAATCACAACCTGATCAAACAAACAAGGACTGAATTACAAAGTAAGTTCAAAATGAAAGATCTTGGTGAATTAAAGTTCTTTCTGGGCATAGAGGTTGCTAGATCAAAGGAAGGGATAGTTATGTCACAAAGGAAATATGCACTGGAGCTGATTAAAGAAGCTGGACTCAGTGGATCTAAACCAGCTGGAACTCCTCTAAAACTAAATGTGAAGCTTACTTCTGAAGAATATGATCAGTACATCAGAAGGGAAGACACAGACTTATTACTCAAGGATCCTGGTCCCTATCAGAGATTAGTAGGAAGATTATTATATCTAACTATGACAAGACCAGACCTAGCATTCACAGTTCAAGTACTAAGCCAATTTATGCACAGTCCAAAAAACTCACACATGGAGGCAGCCTTGAGAGTTGTGAGGTACATTAAAGGAGCACCTGGACTTGGACTGTATTTGCCAGCAGAATCCACAAACAATCTAACCACCTATTGTGACTCAGACTGGGGTGCATGTCTACAGACCAGGAGGTCAGTCACAGGTTACCTAGTGAAGTTTGGGGAAGCTCTAATATCCTGGAAGTCAAAGAAACAAGACACAGTCTCCAGAAGCTCAGTATAAGCTGAATTCAGAAGCATGGCTTCAGCTACTGCAGAGATCATCTGGCTGACCGGTCTACTAAAGGAACTAGATGTTGAAGTACAAGTGCCTACTCAGCTAATGTGTGATAGTAAAGCAGCAATACAAATTGCTGCAAATCCAATATTTCATGAGAGAACTAAACACATAGATATAAACTGCCACTTTGTAAGGAAGAATTTTGCAGGGAATGATCAGACAAATCATGTGCCTACCAAAGAGCAGCTGGCTGATATTCTGACCAAAAGTCTGGGAAGAGCACAACATGAGTATTTACTCAGTTTACTTGGTGTGAAAGACCTGTTTAGTCCATCAGCTTGAGGAGGGGTGTTGAATGATGGAAACCATTTCAAGCTGATTGAATGAAGGGTAATTTAGTCTTTAGTCAAGAAAGATATTTTGTGTAAAGTTTGTTACAAAGTGGTTAGAAACGGTTAAGAGGTCAAGTCATCAGTTAGTTAGCAGAGGAACTATAAATAGTACTGTAATGTATGATTGATTTTTAATTAGAAATACAAATTAGATTTCCAGACTATTCTCTCTTCTTCCTTCTAGAATTCTCCATATCTGATTGTACCTCTGAGCTTGGTAAGGTCATCCATGGCTGCTAACACTATTCTTAGTATTTGAGAAAGAAAAATGGAATAATCCGTCATTGAAAGAGCTTTAAAGCTCAAATTTTAAGATTTAACCTGCTGTAAATGTGTGAATCATTTCGAGCGAAAAATATGTCCAAAAGATTAAAAATGTTGAGAGCAGCTCATATCTAAAATTTGAAACGGTTTAAGAGGAGTTCTGAGTTGGTCGAGATTGAAAAAAAAAGATCAATGAAGAAGGTGAAATAAGGTAATATATAAATATTATATAAACAGTATTTATAGATGTATATATAGTTATGATTTGTAATTTCTAATTTAGTTTAACCACTCCAAAATTTAACTTCTGAATGGAACAAAATGCCTAGTAAATAAGTAGAGAAGCAAATAAAATAAAAAGAAGTTGAAAATAACCAAGAAAAAACTGATTAAAGAATATTAGTGAATAATGATGTGAAGAAAATAGAGTAAAATGTATGAAAAAAAATAAAACAATTTAGAAATCTGACCTTAGGTTATTGAGAAGATTGCTTAATTGATGCTTTTGTGTTCAGGGAAATGGAAACTGAGAAAAAATATAGAGGAAGGAGATGGTGGACTTCAATGATATAAATAATTGCTGATTAAACAAATAAATACATATTATTCAAAACTCCCAATCAACAGCTGTATGTATTGTACCCCACATTTCCGATCGGAAAAGATAACTTTGTTTATGCTCCTTCACTTTCATATTATTAAATTTATGTTGATCTGACATATTTTGTTCGTTAAAAAAAAGAATGATCTAATGTAATTTGACATGGTATTTAAAAAAATAAAAAAGATTTTTTGTGGTCCTCAATCAAAGTTATGTTAAATGTATGAAAATATTTTTTAATCTTCTGATTTTGAACTTTTAAGCATGTCATATGGAAAGTTGAAATTAAAGTTTTGCCAAAAGAAAAGGGGTCATTTTTTTTAAGAAAAAATTAAAAAGAAAGAAGATCATTTTTTTTTAAACAAAAGAAGTACTCCTGTAATTTATTTTATATAGCTATTTAATATTAAGGATAGAAAAAATATATATTTCCTCTCGTCTATTTTACTTGTCATTTTTGGCATGCACGTCCTCTAAGAAAAATATTAACTATAACATAATTTGACTCTAAAATTTAACTTCTTAAATGAATAACATGCCTAGTAAATAAGTAGAGAAGCAAACCAAATAAAAAGAGCTTAAAGTTAACCAAAGAAAATGCGATTAAAGAATATTACTGAATTAATGATAAGTTATTATAATCTTATATATATGACTCATATTATTAATTAAAAATTAAATGAAGTTTCTATTTTAATTATTATTCATTATTAGGTAAAGTAACTTTAAAAAAGAAAATAAGAAATGAAAATTTTTAATAATATTTTATGAGGAATGAATATGATTAAAAAGAAAAATAATACTAATATATTTATTAGGAAAAGAACATTTTCTACTTATTAAGTAGTAATAATAATGATATTTTTAAACTGACCTATTAGAGAGCCTTTTTTTTTTAATGTCATATTGTTTAAGATAACTTTTGACGCATTTTCTTGTTGAATAACTTTTTACTTAATTTGAACTATAAAAAATATCCTAACAATTCATAGTAGGAGTAATTGAAAAAGTTGTCACATTATACACATCGCGGGGAGCTAATAAAAAAAGAAAAAATAAAAAGATGATTTTTGTTTTTTAACGGTTTGATTTTTACTTTGTCACTTAATTTAAAGGCATAATACATAAATATGTCATTTAATTTGACTTTATTTTACATTTATGCTCTCCAACTTTGAATGTGCACAAATAGAAAAATAAACTTGTACGAAGTTAAATTAGTAGACACATGAGTCCTACATGACATAATACACATAGGACACCACATAAGACTCAAATTGTCATGTGTGATGTTACGTAGGACGCGTGTGTCTATTTGTTCAACTTTATACAAGTTTAAATGTTTATTTGTGCACACTAAAAATTAGAGCATTGTAAATTAAAATCAAGTTAAAGGACATATTTATATATTATGCCTAATTTAAAATATGTTTTTATTGAATGTATGGCCTATTTGAAAATCATACTATCTCTATTAGGGGTGTGTATCGTTGGTTCAGTTTAATTTTAAGTATTATCGGTTCGGATTATCTGTTTTCGATTTTAAATGTACTAAACCGATAGTCAAGCTAATAAGATATTTGTTATCGATTTTCGATTTATTGATTTTTGGTCCTTAACAGTTCGATTTTCGGTTTAACCAATAAAAAAATGCTTTCAAAACAAATATATGATTTGTCCACTAATTTGACGCGATACAGACATACATCGAAACAAGCAAATCAAACAAAATTGCAACAATAAAGATGAAAGTAGTACTAAAACCTAAAGGGTAAATGCAGAGAGGACAGAGTTAAGTAATGTTAATTGTGTAGGGTAGTTATAGTTATAGTCTAATATAATAATTATATTAATATTTTTTGTTTGATATTTATGTATGACTAAAAATTAAAATAACAAATTATTATATTCTTAATGAGTTATCGATTAACCCAATAACCTAATATTAAAAAATCAATATCGAATTGATAACTCAATAATTTTTTATAAAACCATTAAATAACGGTTAATTCAATAATCCAATAACAATAAACCAATAACACTTTTTTCAATTTGATTTTTGCATACCCCTAATCTCATCTGTTTTAATATAAAGTAGTTTCTGAAAGTCCGACTTTGATAGAGTAATCTCTGTGCTCGAGTAATTTAGGCCTTTCAAAATCAAATAAGCAGTTTAACAAATTCATGAGCATTACAAGATTGAATATACATACAGAGAATTGTTTTCTCTATATATATGAGATGGATGAAATTAAAGAGGTGTTATCCGCTATAAGCTTTATTAGTCCTTCAATTTAACAACTTGGAGACTGTCACTTCCCGTGTTTTCTTCAATTTCTTTTTTGAGTTTCAAAGCTGAATCAACAAGATAGTCGTTGCAGTCAAACAGTTCAATAAGTCGCAGCGCTGGAATATCCTGAAAGCTAGGAGGGATCTCCAGGAAATCGAAACCAGCTTTTATAGATAGCACCTCAAGCACAGGAAAGGATTCCTCTGAAGCTTTCCATTCGTCGATCTGCATACCGAGTAATGTCAAATATTTGAGTGCAGGGAACTCCACATTTGTGACGTCCCAACAATAGCTCTCTGATCTCCCCAAAGGAATTCCCAACTCTAATTTCAGACTCTCAAGATTCTCCAATCTTGCAATGTTTAATATCATTTGTTCAGTTAAGAAACAGCCAGCAAGGCGCAAATGCCTAAGATTTGGAGGGAACACACAATACCTCTCCCATCGGTCAACTGAATCCCAGAATTCCGTGAAAGATAAAACCAGAGAAAGAGAATGAAGGTTAGTATGAACTTTCGGTATGGAAAACAGAGGAAACTTAGGTACACATTTGACGTGGAGGCTGAGATCTTCGAGATTTGAAAACCTCCACCAGAACCTTGGATTCTTATTATCCAACAATATATGGTAAGTGTGAAAAGTCTTCATGTTCTCTAGCATAGGTGTTGAACATTCTTCAAAACTTCCTTCGTCATTAATGTCTTCCCATACCAACGAAAAACAGTCTATATTCACATGCCTTAGCTTCGTCATTTCCCATAAAATAGCAGCCCTTAGGTGTAACTTCTTATTGGACCGGAGCTGTAGAGTTTGGAGATTGTGTAGGCGTGATATCCACTTCAATTCAAAATGTTCCACAGAAACTGCAAGGTACCTCAACTTAGTTAGCGATTGCATTGCTTTAGCCCATGTATCAGGCAATTCCACATCCATCAAATACACTGCCCGAATAGATCTGAATTTAACTGCTAAATGTAAAGGATTTGAATATAGGTTATTCCATGTATTGAGTTTTGGATGAGCAATGAATTCCAGAGATTTTGTTTCCTTGAAATCGAGCATTGGAATCTTATCCAGCTGGTAGTCGGAATGATCTAATTGTTTAATTAGATCATCATGAATATAAATGCATAACCGTGATTCCGTGGAATGCAAATGTTGATACGGATTGTATGGCACTGCGACCTGAATATACTGGTCTTCTGTGAGTTTTCTCAAGCAGAACTCACGCACTACATCATTAAGTGAGCAGTATTCTACAACATGATCAATTCTCATTCCGGAGACCATTACTAGGCTTCTGTTAAGCAAATCACTCAAGCAATTTCGAGATGCTTCCTCCATGTTCTCTGTTTCGGCATTCAATACAAACTCTTCAGCCATCCACAACTTCAGCAGATGGTCCACTGGGATCTTATGGTCTTCTGGAAACAATCCCATGTAAAGAAGGCAAGGCTTTAAGTGGTCTTCTAAATGGTCATAACTTGATTGTATCACCTTCATGCTCTGCTCTCCTAATGCAAGGGAACTTAAGTCATTTGCAACCTCGAGCCACAAGGACGCCTTCCTTTCCCTTTTTGCTATAATTCCAGCAATCAAGACAACCACAAGAGGCAGTCCCTTACAGTGTAGGGCAACTTGTAACCCTGCTTCCAGTAGATCCGGGGAACAACTTTCTCCTCGAAATACCTTCTTCTCCAATAATTCCCAAGTCTCTCCGAAAGTTAGAAAGCTAAGAGGATAAGGATCACTGTGATGATGAAGATCCTTAGCCACTTGTTCAATTCGTGTTGTGACAATTACTCTGCTTCCATATTTACCTTGAGGGAAGCATGTTACCAAATCTTTCCATGCCTCGACATCCCAAATGTCATCTAATACAATGAGATATCTTCTGCTTATTAGACTCTTGCGCAACATGTCAGCTACATCATCATCCTCTTTGATTTCGCTATCAGCATTTGTTGCTTGTTTGAAAATCTCAACCAATAACGTCCTTCTATTATATGCTTGTGACACAGCACACCATGCTTTAACATCAAAGTGACTAACAATAGAGGGATTGTAGTACACCTTCCTTGCCAAAGTTGTTTTACCGAGTCCAGGCATTCCATAGATGGAGATAACATCCCGCTCCTTTGTTCCTTGTGTCAATTTCTTCATCATAATTTCTGCATGTTTCTCAAACCCGACAACTTCATCATCATCATAAATTGATGTAATACTAGGTTTTGTGGAAGGCTCTCCAGAAGTTTCAACAACATCCATGTCAATTGGCGATTGTGGAAACTACTATGATCCGGCCAAACTATCTTTAGTTAATTGCTCTGTCACCTTTCATTAGGAAAAATGAAGATGCTATAATTATAAGAAAAAACAACAAAAAGTAAACTTTGATGCTTCAATTTTGGGTTTAGAGAAGTCGAAATTGAGAAAGAAGAGGATGGACATATATTGAAGAAAGAATAGTGATACTACAAATATATAGTACTACTAGAGGCCTTAAAATAAAAATTATATAAGCAATGTTTTTATTTTAAATCTATTTTTCTAGCTTTTTGAAATGCAAAGTTGTTAATATTTTTTGTGTAGTCAATCTCTTCTAATAATTCTTTTTCAATCGATAATATAGCCAAACCACTTAATCTTTCTTGAGACATTGTTGATCTTAAATAAGATTTTATTATTTTTAATTTTGAAAAACTTCTTTCGGCTGAGGCGACTGTTACGGAAATTGTTAACATTATTCTATAAGCAATGTAAACATTTGGAAAAGAATCAAGTCTTTTTATTTGATTGACTATCTCAATTAGAGTATTGTCTTCTACTTTTATGATTTCCCTTAACACTTTTAATTCAGAAAATAAGTCTAAACCGTCAATATCGGAGTGAGTATTATGTTTTAAGAACATTCAAGATTAAGACAATATCTTTTTAAATTCTCATTATCTAATGATCTCAACTTTTTCCCACTAAATAGAAAACCAAAAATATTTTCATATACTTCAAATTGTTCAAATCTATTTTGAAGTGAAAAGATGGCTTGATCTACTATGTATAAGAAGTAATCAACTCTAAATGATTTTTCAAGAGATCTTGTGATTTCTTTATCAACATTCTCATCAAATTGTTTGTTCTATAAATTACACATTTCTTACGAAATACAGGTTCTATATTCATCTCTAATGCAATTTTCTTAGCCGAATTCATAGCACTTGTAAATCCTTATTCTCTATATGTTTTAAAAAAAGAAACTAAACCTCTTAATTGATCTATAGCGACAACAATATGCATATCTTTAGATTGTAAGCTTTTGCTAATTAAATTTACAGCAAATAATACATCATACCAAATAGTCATACCCAATAAAAATTCAAAATTTTCAAGCTCAAAAATTGCTAAACAGTTAGTTTCACTTTTAATTTTTGGATCATTCTTCTAATTTAAATAAAGCATCTCTTATTTGTGGAGTTTGAAACCTTATTGCTTTAACACTTTCAATACGACTTTTTCACCGTGTGTGTGACAATGATTTAAGAGTTAAACTAGGTACACTATCTTTTAAAATTTTCACCGCTTAGTAGACGAAGAAAATAGTGAATATATACGTTGTACCACTCCAAAGAATGATATAGCTTTCGTACAAGAATTAACCATATCACAAAGTACCAAATTTAGATTATGACAACCACATGGTGTATAAAATGATCTAGGATTTATATCAAGAAGTCTTTTTTGCACTTCTTGGTGTTTTCCCTTCATATTAGACCCATTATCATATCCTTGTCCTCTTAAATTATCAATATCAAGTCCAACACATTTTATTTCATCTAAAATAACTTTAGAAAGACCTTTTCCACTTGTATCATCCACTTTTAAGAATTCTAAGAAATATTTGATTACATTTATTGGAGTTGCCGAAATATCTACACTCCGTATTATAAAAGACATTTGGTCTTGATGACTTGTATCTAGCGTGCAATCAAGTATGATAGAGAAATACTTTGTTTTAATAACTTTTTCAATAATCTTGTTCTTAATTTCACTTGCCAATAAATTTATTAATTCATTTTGTATATTATGTCCAAGATAATGATTATGAATTTCATCATGTTTGATTCGTCGAATATGTTCTTGCATAATTGGATCAAATTATGCAATCATTTCAATAAGACTCAAGAAGTTTTCGTTATTTTCTTGATAGATTTTTTCATTTCCCCCCCTAAATG